AGAGGAGAGGTGACTAACCCAGAGAAGGCAGGACTGGCAGGGCAGATGGCACCAGAGGAGCACGCTATCTTAGTAGCCAAATGAAGAAGGCTCATCAAGGAGGAGAGAGTGACCAACTGCATGAAATGCTGCCAACAACTCAGTAAGCTGAGAACTGAGAATTAAACACTGGATATAAGGAGGAGGCCAGGTGACCTTGACAAAGGGAACTCAGATTAAGGAGCAGGGCCAAAGATCTCACTGGGATGGGTTTAGGAGAGAATGGGGAAAGGTGAGTTATAGACAACAAGTGTATGTAATTTTTTTGAGGTGTTTGGCTACAAAGACAGGCAAGGCAATGGAGCAAGAGTTAGTGGTAAAAGTCAAGAGAAGACTAATACAATTACAATCAAAATAACAATAGAATTTTTCACGAAACCACACAAACTAATTCCAAAATTTGCATGAAACCATAAAGATTTAATAATAGCCAAGACAACCTGGAGAGTGGGGGAAGAATGGAGGGGAACATTTAGAAAGTCCTTCCTAGACATAAAAATACAGTACTTAAAACAAGGAAGAATACAATGGAGAGTCCAGATATACATCCAAACATAAAGGACATCTGGGTTCACCAGAAAGATAGCATTACAAAAGTGGGGGGAAGGAGGATCAGATCTCTACCACACAACATAAAACAAAAATTCCAGGCTGAGTGCAGTGGCTCACATCTGTAATCCCAGCAATTTGAGAGGCCAAGGAGGTCCTTGAGGACAGGAGTTCAAGACCAAACTAGGTAACACTGCGAGATCTTGTATCTACAAAAATTTTTTTAAATTAGCTGGGCTTGGTAGTGTGTGCCTGTAGTCCTAGCTATGTAGGAGGCTAAGATGGAAGAACTGCTTGAGCACAGAAGACAGGCTACACTAAGTCATGATTGCACCACTGCACTCCAGCATGGGTAACAGAGCGAGACCTTGTCTCAAAAAAGAATAAAAAATAAATGAATTCCAGACCGATTAGAGATCTAAATGTGAGTAAGAAAACTACAATTATTTAAAGAAAACTATTGAGACAACCTTTATAACAAGGATAGTTTTTTGTAGACAAAATAAGGGTGTTTAATTTCTATATCAAAATAGAAACTTTTTTTCAACGAAAAGACAAAGTTAGATAAGTGACAGATTAGGAAGATATTTACAACATATGAGAAACAAGGGATTCGGTCCCATTATAAATAGTACAAGCATAATATATTTATACATTATGTATTGTACATATGTACATTATAAATGAGGGGGAACCCCCCAAAAAACAGAATTACTTTTTAGAAGATGGCCCCCTTGTGGTACAGGCTTCTCCCACTAGATAAGTGTTCTAGGAACCCATTAGCATCAGTGTACCAGCTAGTATTGTTGCGAGAGGCTGCGTTTGGCTTCAGTGAATTTTTTTTGGAGATTTTTTCGAGTTTGCCCATACCATGGTGGGTGATTTATGAGTGCACATGCCCACACCATACTGAGTGTTCAGCAGTTTTTGACCAAAAAACAGCATGACCCCCATGCCCCACCCTCCCTAGTTACCTGAGCCACTTTTTTTGTTTCCCTGGAAGAAAAAAATCCTCAAAGGAAAACTTTTTGCGGATGAGGAAGAGGTGAAACAAAAAAAACAACAGAAGCACTAAAAGGCACCAAAATTGACAAGTTGAAAAACTGTTTTCAGCAGTGAAAAAAGTGTCTCAATAGGTGTAGTGCATCACACAGAGAGTACTTTGAAGGTGACTGAAGTTTAAACATGTAAGAATAAATACACAATTTTTTATAAATAAATGTTGTTTGCTCCCCCCATAAAAATTCAACTGGATATGTGCTTTGGAAGAACCACCACACCAGCCTTTAAAGCTTCTGCTCTTTAAAAGACACTGTTAAGAGGAAGAAAGACAAGTCACAAACTGAATAAAATATTTATGAATCATATCTGAAAAGGACTTATATCCAGAATATATAAAGAACACTTAGAACTCAGTAAGAAACAACCAACTGAATATTTTAAATGGGTAAAAAAATACTTGGACTTTACCAAGGAAGCTATAAGGGTGGCAAATAAACACATGAAAAGATATTCAGCATCATTAGCCATTAAAGAAATGCTAATTATAACCATGAAAAAATAAAAAGTTTAACCATACCTAGTGTTGATAAGGATGTGGAAGAATCAGAACTCTTATACTCTACTATTAGGAATGAAAATGATATAACCACTTTGGAATACAGTTTGGCCATTTTTTTAAAAAGCTAAACATGCATTTACCATATGATTCAGCAGTCCCATTCCCAAGTATAGTAGTCTATCCCCCTTATGTTTGGTTTCATTTTCCAAGTTTCACTTACCTGTGGTCTGAAAATATTAAATTAAAACTAAAATTCCATAAATAAATAATTTGAAAGTTTTGAATTGAGTAGTGTGATCAAATCTTGCACTCTCCCATCCAGGACATGAATCCTCCCTTTGTTCAACATATCCACACCATACATACTACCCACCTGTTAGTACTTAGTAGCCCTCTTGGTTTTCAGATCAACTGTCGAAGCATCGTGTGTTCAAGTATTCTACTTAATAATAGCCCCAAATTGTGCGAGTAATGATGCTGATATATTGTTAAAATTGTTCCATTTTATTACTAGTCGTTGTTAATCTCATGCTGTGCCTAATTTATAAGTTAAACTTTATCATAGGTATGTATGTATACGAAAAACATAGCGTCTATAGGGTTTGGTACTATCTATGGTTTTAGGCATTCACTGGGGGTCTTGGAATGTATTCCCAAAGGGTAAGGGAGAGACTACTGTTTTTACACAAGATAATGAAAGCATTTGTCCATACCAAGACTTATACATGAATGTTCATAGCAGCTTTACTGTCCAAACAAGAAACAACTCAAATGCTCATTAAGTGATACATAGATAAACACACTGTGGTATATCCACACAATAGAATACTACTCATCAATAAAAAGGGATAAACTATTGATACATGTTGTAACATAAATAAATCTCAAAATTATGCTGAGTAAAAGCAGTCAGGCCAAAACACACACACACACACACACACACACACACACACACACACACACAAAACCAAAAAACTAAAGAGTACACACACTCTCACACTATATGATTCCATTTATACACAATTCTAGGAAATGCAAACTAAAGCAAAGTGACAAAGAATAATCAGTGGGTGCCAGGAGATGGGGTAATGAGGTAGGGGAGCAGGGAGAGAGGTGGGAGGATGAGATTACCAAGGACACAGGACACTATGAGGGTGATGGATGTGTTTACTTAACTGTGGTTGGCACAGATGTTGGAAACAGAGATGTCTGTTCTATTACAGGAGTAAATTATTACAATCACTTTGAGGAGTAAAGTGGCACTATCTGACAAAACTGAACATCTTTGTATGCCTGGTTCAGCAATTTTAGCCTGGGCACAGCCTCTACAATTGGGTCAGCAACTACAAGCCATAGGCTAGAGTCTGTTTTTGTAAATAAAGCTTTGATGAACACAGCCATGCATATCCGTTTACAACTGCTTCCATGATGTATGAGCAGAGTTCAGTAGCCGCAACAGAGACTTTATGATTCAAAAAGCCTAAGATATTTATTTTGAAAAGCCTAAAATATGATATTTGGTCCTTTACAGAAAAAGTTTGCTGATTCTTGCTCAAAAAGACACTGGCTCTTGCATGCCAGGAAACATGGAAAGGAGCCTATGAAAGCATTGTTTATAACATCAAATGGCTGGAAAAAAAACCTACTGAAATGTCCATTAACAAAGGAAATAATAAACAAATAATGGACTATAAGTCTTCAATTAAAACAAGTAAACTATATCTACAAGTATCAAAACAAAGAAGGGTCTTAAAAACACGTTGCCTTAAAAAAGCAACTTATAGCCAGGCTCGGTGGATCAGCCTAAAATCCCGCGCCTTGGAGGCTGAGGTGAGTGGATTGCCTGAGCCTGCGGGTTCGAGACCCGCCTGGGCAACTTGGCGAGACCTCATCTCTACAATAAATCAAAAATCAGCCGGGTATGGTAACACACGCCTGTAGTTCCAGCTACATGGAAGGCTGAGGCGGAAGGATTGCCGGAGCCCAGCAGGTCGAGGCTGCGGTGGCCGGGAGCGGCCACTGCACTCCAGTCTGGGTGACAGAGTGAGACTCCAACTCAAAAAAAAAAAATAAATAAATAAAATAAAATAAATTAAATTTTTTAAAAAAGCAAGTTATATAACATAACAATAGGACAACATTGAAAACTCACAAAACTACACTGTACACGTGTAAAAGCAAAAATGCACATCAAATTCATCTTCATGATTGTACTCAGAAGAAAGAGATTGGGACAGGAAAAAGAAAACTCTGATTTTTCCTGTACATTTTAATTTCTTTTATTTAAAAAAAAATCTAATTAAAATGTTTAAGAAAACTAACAAGTTAGATTTAAATCTGATGGTTATCAACATCCTAAAAAAACCCCCAAAACCATATAGATACCTGTTGATTTTTCCTACCCAATTGTAATATATCACCCCAACTCTGAAGTACTCACTAACTGTACTTTTTCAAAGTAGTAAATGTTCACCAAAAGGACATTTTTTGCTTTTATCTTCTGAAGTCTAAAAATTTACCTATCTGAAATTTGCTCTTCGGAGGAAACAGAAACACAGTCCTAATATGTTTTGTACAAGAAACATAGTTACAAAAATTAAATCAATAGATGCTTAACAGTGGCCCAGCAAGCCACTGCTCCACCTGGGGCAGGCTGAGCCAGTCCAGGGATGCAGCCTCACACAGAAAGAGCCTCACATTTTCTATCTTCCCACCTGGGGGCAGGGAGGAATGGTATTTAAATATGCAAACAGAATGACAGATAAGCATAATATTTAAAAATGCTTCTAATTAAGTAAATGCATGAAACAGACTGCTAAAATGTCAGTGTTTACAGAAATCATACCATTACCTTCTCTCCAGGTTTGGGTGATGGCTGCAATTTCTCATAATCTTTCTTAGTCTCCAAAATTTTTTTCACAAGTCCACCTGTGGAAAATCAGTGATTTTATGTTACAGTTTATTCTCTGCCCCAAGAAGTGATTCTAAATGGGTGTGAGAAATACTAAGTTCTTATCTTATCTCTTTCTATAGTTTCAAATAAACCTTACTTATTTATTTTTATTTTTTGAGTCAAATTCTCACTCTGTCACCCAGGCTGGAATGCAGTGACATGCTCATGGCTACCACTGCCTCAACCTGCTGGGCTTAGGCGATCCTTCTGCCTCAGGTGATCCTTCTACTTCAATCTTCCAAGTAGCTGGGACTGCAGGTGTGCATCACCACGACTGGCTAATTTTTTTTAAATTGTAGAGATGGATCTTGCCACATTGGCCAGGCTGGTCTCGAACCCCTGGACTCAGGCATGAGCCACCACACCCAGCTCAAATAATGTTTATTTATTAAGAGATAGTCTATTCTAGAGTGATACAATAGCTAAAATTATAAAATAAAATTTCAAAGAAATCAGCTCCTTGAAAAGTAAAAAACTTAAGAAATAAAATAGATTTTCTTTTCTATTTTCAAAGATTAAGGAAGAATATAGAATATTCAAAAATATAACTGCCTATTACAAACAGATATAACAATTATGAATTCCTTCTAGGTATTAACACTTCTTTTACATTGGAGCAAGTGTTCAATTTCTTTTAGAGTTACCTGTGGGGTAAAATCATATGAAAAATCATTTTTTAAATATTGTTTTACCCAAGCATGCATCAGTACAAGATGAACTGAAAGACTTATGGCACATCAACATGTGGTGAACCATACAGTCAGGAAGAGGGATGAAGACTATTTTTCTATATTGCCAGATTAGAAAAAGAAAAGATGAGCCAGGCTCGGTGGCTCAGCCTGTAATCCCGCGCCTTTGGGAGGCTGAGGTGAGTGGATTGCCTGAGTCCGCGGGTTCGAGACCCGCCTGGGCAACGAGACCTCATCTCTACAAAAAATCAAAAAATCAACCGGGCGTGGTAGCGCATGCCTGTAATTCCGGCTACTTGGAAGGCTGAGGCGGAAGGATCGCCAGAGCCCAGCAGGCCGAGGCTGCAGTGGCAGGGAGCGGCCACTGCACTCCAGTCTGGGCGACAGAGTGAGACTCCAACTCAAAAAAAAAAAAAAAAAGAAAAGATGGAAACAAGTGCAAGCATCAATACATACACACACGTGTACATTTGTTTACATGTTTTATAAATGAAAGAATAGCCATACATTTTACTGTTACCTGCAGAGGAGGGAGAGTAGAGGGTGGAGAAGACAGGGATCAAAGTCTACCTTTCTGACTATACCTTGTTTTGTGCATTTGACCTTAAAACCTCATGAATATCTTAAATTTTTAAAAAAATTGATGTCTAAAAATTGAAAGCAAAAATAATATTAAACATAATATTAAGTTGGCAAGCATATGCTAATGGGGATTTCTTTCTTTTTTTTTTGAGTTGGAGTCTCACTCTGTCGCCCAGACTGGAGTGCAGTGGCCACTCCCGGCTACTGCAGCCTCAACCTGCTGGGCTCTGGCGATCCTTCCACCTCAGCCTTCCAAGTAGCCGGAATTACTGGCACGTGCTACCATGCCCAGCTGATTTTTTTATTTACTGTAGAGATGAGGTCTCACCAAGTTCCCCAGGCAGGTCTCGAACCCGCGGGCTCAGGCAATCCACTCACCTCAGCCTCCCAAAGTGCGGGATTACAGGCTGAGCCACCAAGCCCAGCTGAGGTTTATTTCTTAACTTCAAAACAGTAATTGACTGTGCATCCCTAATGGGACACAGCCTAAGAACAGAAAGACAAACAGACTTACCAAAAAAAAATCCTGACGTGTTTTTGGTAACCCTATTGTCATTAATAAATAGTGGTAGTGTTTGAAATTGCTTTATGTGCATACTGTAGGATATAGGACACAGACAGCTAATATTGCTGGGAGCCAAGACATTAACATGAGATGGAAGAGATGCATGTATAAAATCAAAGAACACAGGCAAAACCTAACAATCTATATCTAAAATGGAAATATCAGTATGAACTCAGGATATATCTTCCTATTAAGAAAATATCTATCTCTGCTATATGCAGTGAAAATGCCTAGAAATAAGACCCAAACCAGGGCAACAAGCTGCCAGGCTTCTCGGCAAAAAGGGGCAGACACAAGGCAGGAAATATACAAAATGAACCTGAAACATCTTGTCCTATCAAAAAACAAGGAAACTACAAAATGTACTGGAATGTGTCAAAAGGCCTCTAAAAGATAACTTGAACAGGCTCCCTATGGTCAAACACTGGGCAATTTGAACATCAGTAAGAAAAACTGAGATGGGCTGAAATGAAACACATCAAATATGTGTTTAAAACTCTGACTTCACATAGATACCAAAAAAAAAAAGCCCTCATTAGTTTTCTTTGCTAGGTACAAGGAAACAAAGTCACTAATATGAAAACTGATCAATAAAGGAAAAACACCAAGTATTTAGCCTGCCTCTCATATAGGAGCTGTGCCTCAGGGTAGTCAAACTCTGGGGGAAAGGAGGAGTTGCACTACCTAGCTCTCCAGCAAGAAACTGAGGAAGGAAGGATGAGTTGCCATTCTGAAACCTTTAATGAGAAAACCACAGGGGTGTAACAAGTAACACCAACCATGAGAAATGACAAAGGACAACCAAGTCAGTTTCTTCATTAGATACATTATAAGGGGACACAAGGTTACAGATTAAGAGAGACTTAAGAGCTAGATCAATCCACTGCAATGCAGGGATCCCTTATTTGGATCTTAACTCAAAAAAATAAACTAGAAAAAATATAAATGACAACTGGAAAAAATAGGTATTTGATGATATTAAGGAATTATTGTTAAGTTCTAAACTTTTAGTTGGTACCTCCACTCTGTTACCCACACTGGAGTGCAATGGCATGATCATAGCTCATGGCAGCCTCAACCTTCTGAACTCAGGCAATCCCTTCTGCCTCAGCCTCCTAAGTAACTGAGACTACAGGCGTATGCCACCAAACCTGGCTACTTTTTTCATTTTTTTTAGAGATGAGGTCTCACTATATTGCCCAGGCTGATCTTGAACTCCTGGCCTCAAGTAATTCTTCTGCCTCAGCCTCTCAAAGTGCTGGGATTACAGGTATGGGCCACCATGCCCAGTCAACAAATTATTAACTAGTTCTATAAATGACAATGAAATTACAGCTTTTTTTTTAAAGAGCCTTTATGTTTTAGAGCTACATACAATATATTTACAAATGAAATGATGCTTTCTGGGATTTAAAAATAGTGTGGAGGAGTAAGAGGTGACAGCAGCACAGGCTTAGATAAAACAAGACAAGGAAGGATCCCATGGAGAAGCTTCTCTTGACGCTAATAGATGAAGACACTCTGAACAGTTTTGGATGGGTGAAGCACCCTGCACCCAGCAAAGGTCTCTGAGAACACATAGAGATCAGAAAGCGATGGTAGACACTGGAACCCAGATGCCCTATGTCCTGCCATGTGCCAGGCTCACACAAGAACTGAAGCCCTGCCTAGTGAACAAGAGGGGGTGAGTGATCCTAAGATGCTTTGGGTTGGTTCTCCCACTCCCAGCCTGTGCAAGCCATTGGTCCCACACAGGAGGAATTCTGGTCAGGGCATAGCTGCAGGCAACTGGAGTTCAAGTGGAAAGGGGAACAAAACCCACACTTCTACAAGAGCGCACCTTTTACCCCTCTCCCCAACTTTCACGAGTGATAGAGCTGAGTGCTGACTTGAACAGTGGGGGAGTGGCATGAAAGACACCCAAAGGCTTTCCTAGAAGGGAAGGCTTCTGGGCTGCAAACTGCAGACAGAGGCCCATCCTCCCATCTACTCTCTGCAGAGTGCCTGCAACATGACCTAAAAAACAACCTGACTAGTTTAACAGCAGGAGAGAAAATCTATAGTAGAGAGGCCTGTCACAGGGTGGAGCAAGGAGCAGAAATGAATGCCCCCCCTCACTGAGTGACCTACCCTGAACGATAGAAAGGGCCCTAGAACAGAGGGTCACTGACTAGTGTCAAAGCAACAAAACCAAAGAGATATTATAGAGAAGGAAGAGAGGCATGTCACAAATTTGGGGGAAAAAATCAATGTAAAAATATAGGCAATCCACAGAGTCCTAAAGAGACAACACCCAAAAAAGCAGTCATCAGAGCACATACAATGGAACCTCCCAGAACGACCTGCCCCAGATGCCAGTCACAGAAATCAGAAATTGGATGGTTAAAAATGAACAGAGAGAATCAAGAGAAACTAGAAGCGAAACTCATCAAAGTTGTACAGGAAGTAAAAGCAGAGTTGGCCAATTTCAAAAGGTCCATTCTAAAATAATAGAAGTGAAGAACTTCATCCTGGAAATTAAAGACACAGTAGCATGCATAGGGAGCAGGATCAATCAAGCAGAGGAAAGAGTCTGAGAGCTTGAAAACCAAAATATGGAGCTAATCCCTATATCAAAAACATAGAAAAAAAACTCAAAAAGAAGGAGCAAAGCCTCTGAGAGATGTGAGACTATATCAAGAAGCAAAATCTACACTTGACTGGTATCCCTGAAGCAAAGAGGAAACAGAACACCATGGAAGGAGCATTCCATGAGGTCATCCAAGAAAACATCTCACATCTTGCTAGAGTGGTGACCACTCAAGTACAAAAGATTCAGAGAATCCCTGCAAGGTATCACATGAGAAGACCATCCCCAAGACATATTGTAATCCACCTCTACAAAGTAAGCATTAAAAAAAAAATCCTGAAGGCAGCAAGAAAGAAAGGCCAGAAAACCTACCAAGGAAAACCCATCAGAATGGCTCCAGACTTATCTGTAGAAACACTGCAAACCAGAAGGGACTAAAGCCCAATTTTTACCGTTCTTAAAGATAAGCAATTCCAGCCAAGAATTTCCTATCTTGCCAAGCTAAGTGTCATCAGTGATGGAGAATTAAAATCCTTCCCAGATATCCAACCCCTAAGAGAATATGATGCC